TTCAAACAATGACAGTTCCATTCATTTCATCTAAAAGAATCTTTCCCCTATTAAAATGCAAATCATCTTCTAAAATGTGCACATCCAGCCATGCATCAATAAATACGCACAGAGAAAATACGCTTTCATTTTGCTTTCAGTTAGACTGTTATGAAACACAAAATATTGTATATGACCAAAATGTCATTTTCAGATGTTGAGGTAACTGGTGAAGGTGACATAAAATCATAATATGTATTTGTTTGTTTATTGGCTAATTGATTAATGAATATTTGGTAGTTAATAAATCATAATATTTATTTATTTTTATTTATACAGCAACGCTCAAAGGAATGGTTCTCCCCCAAATTATTGGATGGCCTGGGGATGAGTAAATCATCAGGAAATGATCATTTTGGGGTGAACTATTCCTTTAAATACAACACTAATGAAGTTCAAGGATTCTGTAGTATATGTTTACACAACCAACTGCAGTTATGCTTCTATACTTAGCACAGAACAAGCTGTATGTCCAGATGATGCTCTGGAGTTCTAACACGTTTCTTCTTCATCATCTGGATCCTTCCCATTAACACATGACCACCTGGTGCTCCATTTCACCTCATTAACTGCCCAAACTGTCTAGTGCTAAAAATGTTACTCTGAGAATGAAATTGTTACACTCGTATGCCCTCTGTAGACTTATTGTGCTGTAACACATCAATAAGCATGTTAGATTGAAACCTATGGAATCCTGAACAATATCATTTCAAAACAGGGTTATTACAGTTAACAAAAACTTAAATCTTAAAATATATATATGAAAAAATATTTTTAAAAATTATAAATACTATCTAAAAATATATACAAGATACCCCTTGACAATGTAAAGCAATTTGAGTGCCTAGAAAAGTGCTATATAAATGCAACGAATTATTATTATTATTATTATTACTTTATTTAAACTATTAGCCTGTATTTAAAAACAAACCTATTTTATTTCAGCTAGCCAAGCAACATTTCTCTCTTCTTTTTTGTTGTTGTTTAAGTTGAAGTATTAAAATAACTACAACTAAATGAAATAAAGCTAAAAACTGAATTTAAAAAAACACTATAAAAATATAAAAATGACAAGAACACAGAATAAAATTATTAAAACTTTTAAATTCAAATGAAAAAAAGGAAATGCAAAAAGGAAATGTGATTCAAAACAAAAACTAAAATATTAATAAAAAAGTATAATATTATATCAATGATTCTAAATGCATAAAAATGCAAGCGCAAAGGTAATGGCAAGAACACACAATTAAAAAAAAAACAGGATTAAAAGTGCCCTCTAGTGGAGAAAACATCCCCTTACAGAGATAACTAAAAATGTAATTAACATGACCAACCAGGGGACAAAAATTCAGCCCTGGTTCTGTAGCCACACCGGCCCACATTACCACACCCACACAGTCCCACCCACGGACACACGCATTCACTACTTACATTTATGTACAGATGGTGAAATAATATAAGCAGTACCATATATGTAACAGATATTTAAACATTTAATGTATGTGTCTGGCAAACAATGCTTACTACTTTTTAAAGAGCACACGTTTATAACAAATGTACACATACAGTTAAAACAAAAGAAAAAGAATCTGAGGATGTTGTAGAGTCTGTGTGCTGTCTGTTTATGCCATTTGTCTGCTGTTACTGTCATTCTCTACAGTATGTTGTTCTTTGTTGTCACTGTCTGTCTGTTGGTTCTACCACACCTCTACCATACTCCTCCCTGTCTCTGCT